TTGTTTATCAATACGCCGTTCTCCCGTTCGGCTTATCTCTGGCGCCCCGTACATTCACGAAGTGCATGGATACGGCGCTCGCCCCCCTGCGAAGCCAGGGGCTGCGCATTCTGAATTATCTGGACGACTGGCTGATTTTGGCCCAATCACAGACGGAGCTTCTGTCGCACCGCGCAGTTCTCCTCGACCATTTGGAAACGCTGGGCCTCTCTGTCAACTGGACAAAGAGCTCCCTTCATCCCAGTCAATCGATTTCCTTCCTAGGTATAGATTTGGACTCGGTCACGATGACGGCTCGCCTGTCTACACAGCGCGCGCGCAGTGTTCAGCGTCTAGCCGCCTCGTTCCAGATGGGCACCCGCAGGCCTCTGAAAACTTTTCAGAGGATGCTGGGTTACATGGCCTCAGCCTCCGCTGTACTTCAGTTGGGCCTTCTGCACATGCGCCCGCTTCAGTTCTGGTTGAACAGCCGTGTACCCCACCGCGCGTGGAACACGGGCCGCCAGCTGATCAGGGTTACGCAAACGTGTCTCACGGCGCTGCAGCCATGGACAGTAGCAGAATGGTTTCGTCTAGGCGTCACGATGGGGACCTTTTCCTGCCGAAAAGTCATCTCGACAGATGCATCCAACACGGGTTGGGGTGCAGTCTGCGAGGGCTCACCGGCCTTCGGCCACTGGTCGATTCAGGAAAGCCCATTACACATAAACTGTCTGGAAATGCTGGCGGTCGAGAACGCGCTCTCGCACTTTCTCCCGCGCTTCCAGGGACACCACGTCCTGATCCGTTCGGACAATATGGCCGTGGTCTCCTATCTCAACCGTCAGGGCGGTGTCAGATCCAGAAATCTCTGTCTACTGACGCACCGCATTCTAGTTTGGTCTCAGAGCCGCCTGCTCTCGCTCAGAGCGACGCACGTGCCGGGCCATCTGAACGACGGTCCAGACATACTGTCCAGGAACCTCATCTCCACAGGAGAATGGTCCCTGAACTCACAGACGGTCCAGTTACTGTGGCGACTATTCGGCAGAGCAGAAGTAGACCTCTTCGCGTCAGAAGAGAACGCTCACTGCCCAATATATTTCTCGAAGAGCGAGGACGCGCTAGCCCAGGAATGGCCTCGCCGCCCGCTCTATGCATTCCCTCCGATCGCTCTGTTACCACAGGTAATTCAGAGGATCAGGGACACACGCCACTCGGTGCTCCTCATAGCCCCGCGTTGGGAGAGTCAGAATTGGGTTCCGGAGCTCACGCAGCTGTCACAGACAGCCCCGTGGCCCATCCCAGTCAGAGCAGATCTCCTCTCTCAAGCTCGCGGCACGATCTGGCACCCCCATCCACAGCGCTGGGCGCTACATGCATGGGTGATCAACGACTATTCGTTGATTTGCCAGAGGGAGTAAGAAACACTATCATACAGGCTAGAGCACCTTCCACGAGAAGGCTCTATGCGTCTAAATGGTCTGTGTTCTCAAAATGGTGCACCGACAAACAGCTGGACCCACGGTCGTGCGAGGTGCCGTCTTTGCTTGTTTTCCTTCAAGAGATGCTGGACAAGGGCAGGTCCCCCTCCACTCTCAAGGTTTATGTGGCAGCCGTCGCGGCGTTCGCGGAACCCCGACGCGCTCAGTCATTGGGCAAAGACGAGTTAGTCATCCGCTTCCTCAGGGGAGCTAAGAGGATGAACCCTCCGCGGCCCCCGTCGGTTCCGGTTTGGGATCTTTCTATAGTCCTTGAAGCTATGAAAGCACCCCCGTTCGAACCGCTCGAGTCTGTGGATCTGAAATACCTCTCGCTCAAAACCGTTTTCCTGACGGCTCTGTCCTCAGTTAAACGCGTTGGGGATCTTCACGCGCTCTCATCCAGCGCCGCGTGTCTTGAGTTTGGACCGAATGATTCGATTGTCATTCTCAAACCTAGGCATGGCTATGTCCCGAAGGCGATTGGTACCCCGTTCAGGGCTCAGATTATCTCCCTATCGGCTCTGCCTTCATCCGATAGTGAGCGCGATGCCAATCTCCTTTGTCCGGTGCGGGCTCTGAGATTGTACACTACGCGCGCTGCCGCGTTCAGACGCGCTGAGCAGCTTTTCGTGTCGTTTGGGGGGCGCACCAAGGGTCTGGCCGCCTCAAAACAGACACTGTCTAGATGGATAGTGGACGCTATCGCCTCTGCTTACGCATCTAAATGCCTGCCCTGCCCTCTGGGCATCAGGGCGCACTCCACTAGAGGCATGGCCTCATCGTGGGCATGGTCCTGTGGAATTTCCGTTCATGACATTTGTGTGGCCGCGGGATGGGCCCCCCCGTCCACTTTTGTCAGGTTTTATAACTTGGAAGTTCCCGCCTTGCAGGCAAAATTACTAGCTGTCTGACGAACAGCTCTCTAAGAAGCTGCATTTCTGGAGGTCCCTCACAACCGGTTCGCCCCTTGTGCTCTCCTGTAATGCTTATACACTTCATGTGCCCGCTCTGCTGGCCCCATACATGCTTATGTGTACACTTCATGAGCCCGCTCTGCGGCCTCTTTGTACATTCACTCCACGTTAAAAAATTCCCCCGGTATATCCCTGGGTTTTTTTCATGAGTGGATTCGTAGCGCGCACGGCGTTGGCCAGGTGTTCCCGCAGCGTAAGCTAGCTTACGCAATACGAGAGAACCTCTCGTAAGAGAACGAATCGGTTACCTAACGTAACCTCGGTTCTCTCTAGAAGAGGGAACGAGTATTGCGTTCCCGGCCGTGCTTGCGCTACTAGCGTTTCGCTTCACGCTGAAATAAATCAACATATAAGCCTGGGAGAGCTCCTTATATACACCATGGCCACGCCCATTCTGGCGGGTCATGACGCAATGAGCGCGCGGGCGCCTCTCATTGGAAGCGGGTTCAGCCCCGCTCTCCCATAGGCTTAAGCAGTTCTCTCTGAGCGAACCAATGAGCTGCTAGCTAGCCCGCTCTAGGTCTGCCGCAGAGGAACTGCGTTGTGTATGGATACAAAATTATGAAATAATTTTTTGGCTTCAATATCTCAGCAAAGATGAATCTTTCCCGCAGCGTAAGCTAGCTTACGCAATACTCGTTCCCTCTTCTAGAGAGAACCGAGGTTACGTTAGGTAACCGATTCGTTTTTCCGCGTTTATAATTGCTCAGGTCACAAAAAATAAGATTATTGCTCAATATGCACAAACTTGTCATTAGCATGATTTTCATGACAACCAAGTCACTCACACCCAAGCTGCATCCTAGAAACCGGTTACCGTCACTTTGCCTGATTACAGTGATAATATAGTATAATATAATATAAAAGATATCTATATTTATTGATATTTAATATTGTCATCTTTTACCATCCTTTTCCTTCACATTAAAAAATCTACAAGCATATAAAACATGACACTTGTTACAATAGCATTTTTATTTCCCTATAATGAGATAATCTAGTATTAAATATTGTTATGTTTATATTAGCACTTTATTAGATTATTGGAAAATATCTCGGGTAAAGTGCATATTCCACAGAGGAAAAACAAGCATCTCAGCCCAATACTTTGCCATTTAGCTGCTCCTATATTTGGCCCGTCCTTCTCTAGAACCGAAATGACACCGGCACATCGAGTGTGTTTCCGTAAATGGCAGGTTAGGGATAAAGAAGGAAGCTGATATGTAGGCCAGAAATTGACTGGTGGCTACAGAAAATGCCATTTTGCTGCTGTCACCTAGAGAGAATTCAGGGAACATAATTGCATTTTTAGCTCCTATGGCCTCTTATGTGAAAAGCTATTAGCTCTAGCTGGGCTGGCCTACTTTGAGAAGTTAAAGACAGGCATGTCGCTCTTTACTCACGGGACACATGTTGCACTGAAGGTGAGAGGAGCCAAGTACCAGATTGGGACTGGATTGATTTATGAATAGAAAATGTGACATTGGTGCTTTAAACCTCACAGGAAGCTCGGTAACACTTTAGATTAGGAAACACATATTCACTATTAAATAGGAGTTTTCCCTCCCTTAATAAACTCCTAATTATTGCTTATTGATATTAAACAAGGTAGTTGTTGTAGTGGTTACGTTTAGGTATGTAGAAGAATATGGTCATACAGAATAAGGGATTAATATGCATGCTAATAAGCAACTAATACTGAATGAATATGTGTTCGCTAATCTAAAGTGTTACTGTAAGCTCTTCCACAAAACCAGTCACATGGGTCAATTTTTTTAAATGAAGATTTATACAGTAGATCGCCTTTAAAGTTCTACATGTATGTTCGCGATTGCGCTGCATTCACTCAGAAAAATAAATGTTGTATATATTTACGGTAGGAAATTTACTAAATATCTTCATGGATCGTGATCTTTACTTAATATCCTAATGATTTTTGGCATAAAAGAAAAATCGATTATTTTGACCCTTACAATGTATTGTTGGCTATTGCCACAAATATACCCGTGCTACTTGTGACTTGTTTTGTGATCCAGGGTCACATATAGTTTGCATTTACTCTTTCCATTCCAATAAAATCCAGTCTATGAGCTCCAAATGCATAATTATATAAAGTAGCATCTGTGTTTGTAGCATTATATCGCTGTGAGACAGATGTTAGGGCCAGAGAGACAGACGTCTGTGTGCGTTGCAGTCTCTCTTTTCCCCCCAACTCAACAGCTTTTGACACAGCGGTTTGCTTTAGGACATCTCTTCCCAAACCAACAATCCTGTTCTCAATTCATTCTCTGCTCTGGAAACAGAAAGCTGATTTAAACCAACTCAAAGAGAAATGTTTAGCATGTTTTGAGAGACCGTTAAATACACATACTGTTTTCTTTGTCTCTTAATGTGAAATGTTTCACTTTACAGTTCTGTGTCCTTCATTATCAGCTCTCATTACAGATACATGGTGTAAGATGTAACCTTTGATTAATCTTTACGTAATCAAACACATGTGTTCAGGGTAATGGAATAAATGAGGTGTTTTCTCTCACCGTTTGTCTTCATGTGCTCTCTACAGGTATCTCGTCTTCCTGCAGATCAAAAGAGATCTGTACCACGGTCGTCTCCTCTGCAAAACGTCTGACGCAGCCTTATTGGCAGCTTACATCTTACAAGGTAAAGTAGAAGGAAATGGGACCCTAGAACTTAATACTAAAGACAGAAGCTGTGTGATGCCATTCTAAAGTTTGGGGTCGGTAAGATTTTTTTCATTATTTTATTTATTTATATTACTAATATTCAGCAAAGATGGATTAAATTGATCAAAAGTGACAGTAAAGATTTTTACGTTTCAAAAAAGTTTTATTTTGAACTTTCTATTCATCAGAGTCCTTTAAAAAAAGCAGCTCAACTGTTTTAAACATTGATCTTAGTAAATGTTTCTTGAGCAGCAAATCAGCATATTAGAACATGACACTGACATTGTTGAAAATTCAGCTTTGCCTTCACAGGAATAATATATAATAATGCAATTTTCACAATTTAACCGTTGTTACTCTATTTGTGATCAAATAAATGCAACTTTAAAGACCATAAGATACTTCTTTAAAAATGTTTAAAAACTCATACCAACCCCAGACTGTACAACGGTAATGTAAATAATGTACTTTTATGCATTCAGGTTCATTGGGATACTTTTTTAGCCTTTTTTGAGATGATTGGGAAAAAGTGTCCCAATCAACCTGAATTCAACCTAATTTATTTTGAATTATTACACAATTAAACATATATTTGTTTCTAATAGGGATGTACCAACACTGTAAAAAATGGTATGATTAATAAGTTATGACAAATGTTTTTACATTGCTTTAACTCATCAAGATGAATGAAGCAATTTTAAGTAATTGAAGTTGAAATGACTTAAACATCCAAGTTGATTTTACTATATCAGCCAATGAATGATCGGTGTCAGCTGATAAATGCAATTGTATGCAGTCAAAAGGGGGCGGAAAACTGGTCAGACATTCAAACTGGTCAAACTTATACTGTGTGTGAAGAAATTGACTATTGTGGTGAATTTAGGGCTGTCAAAGTTAATGCGACGATGACTCATTCACAGTTAAAAAAATAGTGACATTATACAGTTTTTTTTGAAGTGTAATTATTATATCTGCAAATAGATTGCAGTTGAATATAATAGTTTGAGCTCTTTTGTTACTTTTAACCTCTAATATTATAGTAATGTACCAAATGAGAGAGTTCTCTAGTTTACAGCATTAGTTGGGAGAGATTTTCTTTCCTTAAAAGAAAGTCAGACTCTCAGTATCGGCAGATATCATTCAGAAAAACTGGCTATTGGTATCGGCAGAAAAATGTAGTATCTGTGCATCGCTAATTTCTAATATAAAATACTGAATCTTTCAAACAAAATTAATTTCCAAAATTATTTTCAAGAATCAATTATTTTAATCTGTTATTATCTCTCAGTTGAATTTGGGTATTTGTTCAGTAGTCTACAGAGATGTGTGAGGTTCAGTCACATTAGAGGTTTTGACGTCGAGATGCACAGTAATGTTCTTTGACAGGTTGATCAGGGCCATGTTTTAGACGACTCTGTTGAATTAAAGATGCACCTTTCCATCACTGTTCCCAATGGTCGGGACTCAGAGAGGCTGATGGGTACCATTCAGGGCCGTGCGGCCCATATAAGCTGAGAGTGCTCTGCACACCAAAGCCATTTGAGAGAATGAGTTTGTGGACTCTAATTAATATTAACACTACTATATCATCCCTTGTTATTTGAGGTGTAACATCGAGCTTACATGATCAAATGTTGGTAATACGTATGTAACTGTCCGTCATTTATTCATTTGCCAAACTACTGTAATTTTCTTCAAATCTGTACCAGTTATGGAGGGTTTCGGGTAAACAGATTCCCAGTTACGCTCTGTTGTTATGCATCGTCATTATTGTTCCACATTCTCATTGGTTAGCTGGCAATGTGCTGTCAATCACTGAAAATCACATTGTATTTGATACAAAACTAGGCTAAATCAAATAATAAAAAAGTCATAACTGAAACTCTTTTCTTAGTATTTTCTCCATAGGGAAATTCACTTAATACGAAAACGTATAAACTGTTGCACTCAGCATACCCGGTTTACACTGTTACTGGTACCAAGTGCAGAAGCAAACAGCATATTAAAAATGCTTTACTATATGCTAATCGACAAAACCCCTGCAAAGAACATATGGCTCCCAACACTTGCTCTCACAGAGCATGTTCATTAAGAAAACACGTTAGCATTGCCATATGTGAACTAAAAATGCACGGTTGCATGATGAAAGATTGATTTATGACTACTTTGCAGCTGAGATTGGAGACTACGACCCGGGAAAGCATCCAGAGGGCTACAGCTCCAAGTTCCAGTTCTTCCCCAAGCACTCAGAGAAACTGGAAAGAAGGATTGCAGAGATTCACAAGACAGAGTTAATGTACGTGTAACCTTTCCCCTCTTTTTTCTTTATCTATGGCTTAGGAATTATGGAAAAGTCTTTTCAGAATCCCCGTCTCTCTCTTGTGTGTTTCTGAGCTTCACCGCTGGGGGGGATGGGGGTCAGTGGCTGCTAACACATTTTCATAGTAATGCAAAATCAATAACACTTCACAATAAGTGTCAATCAGATAACATTGGCATTGGGTGACTAGAGTATTTGTTATGTCTTTACTGCCAATTGTGATCTATTTAATGTCTGAATAAAAGTATTATTTATAAAAAAAACACACACAAAAAAAAACACACACATCTTATTGACCCTAATCTTTTGAGCAGCATTGGACTGATGAAAATGATTCAGTGGTAAAGACAAACAAATATAGTTTCTACCTGTAAAGTAAATTCAGGCAAGAATTTAAAAAACAAAGTAAATTCTATATTAGTACTCAATTCAAGCTTGTAGTAATTAAAGTGTAAATATCAATGTTATAAAATTAAGTAAAACCTACTCAACTTTCTGATACTGGTGTTCCCATCGTGCACTGGGGCATGAATAATTAATACGTTTGCATTTTTCACTATTTTCCAGCTGTATTTACACTGTTTTATCATTGTATTTGTTGTTAGGTTTAGTAACTTGCTGTCTGGAGTTCATTTTCTACTCAAAATGCTCAAAAATGATCCAACGGATGCTACTATTACTGTGTATTGTGTACCAAGTATTGATCGGGTGGGTATCACATAACTTCTATTATGTAGATATGTTGTCTAGACACTATCTACTGTATTATTTACATGGATGTTCTAAGTAAAGCATATCCTTTAAAAGCATGGTTTAATTCAGTGTTATATTGTTTGAGTAAAATGTACTTAAAACCAGGGGCGCAACTACCCAGTGTCAGAGGGGTATGCAGCAACAATTTTCGCGCCCCCCCCTCAAACAAAAAAAATAAAAAAAAAAAAGTGTGCCATGTAATAAGTGAGTAGGAACGAGTGAGAGCTAACAGATAAAAGTGCAAAATTGTCATTTATTAATACAATTAAACTATAGCTACTCCACCGTGATGAACCCCCCTAAAAAAACTATAAGCTCAATTGGAACAGCAATACCAGTGTTTCTCACAGGATTTTAGGTAAAACTGTGGTAGGTGGACCTCTGTTTCTCTAGGGGGGTTCGGGGGCATGCCCCCCCCGTAAGAAAATTTTGTGTTCTTTAATGTTAAATTCAGCAGTCTGGTGCACTTTGAGAGTTCAAAATTAAAAGCTCGAACCCATATTCAGGGTGCAAATTAAACAAAGAAAAATTCAAACCTCTTTTAGTTAGTGTCTGTCTACATTACACTAGCCTACTACATAATAATAGTTATAATATTAATCCCATGATAGTAATAGCCATAGGCCTATATTGTAAAACAAATGCACTGAAAAATAAAGTAAACTTTCATAATTAGTTTTGTACTAATTTCTATACTTGAAAGATATAAGCACATGATGACGTTTCATGGGCCGGTGTGTCAGAAAAAAAACTAACGCTGACTTTTTTTTACCAATGCATTACACCGGCACTAACCCAGCGCCGCCAATTAAAGGGACACTATGCAGCTTTTTTAGCTTAACTGAACAGCTTCAGAGTTATTGAAATGGTTATATAACTTCTATCGGGTTGAATGGTGGGCGTCTCGACCCCCCCTGGTGCCTGTGAGCGAAAAAATCTCACTTGCAACTTCGGTGCGGCGGGCCGCGTCAGGAAGTATCGCGTGATATCAGCTCTCGCGATGTAACATATTCCTTTACGGCAACTGCACCCATACACACAGGAACAAGGTATAGATGGATGGAGTTTGTCACACTATCGTCATGGCTGAGCCGGCATATAAGATGCAGAAAGCTAGGAAAGCATTGTCGGAGGAACAGAGAAAGAGGAAACGGCAGACTGACCGAGCGAGGAGTCGGACACGAGCATAGGCATAATTTGCTGGTGTGTTATGTCCCCATTGAAACTTCTCGCGGCACGGATGTAACGTTACCATTACAAACAAATAAAACATCTCCAGGTAACTCTAGTAGAGCATTCATTTCATTCGTTTGTTAAATAAGAGGCGATCTGAAATGTGTTAGTTTTGAAATCAAGTGACCAAAGTGCTCGTTGCCTCTGCGATCAGTGGTGCAGATAAGTTACAGTGTTCTGTTGTGACGCGCGCCTGAATCCGTTGCGGGGACTGAGAGACTCTCTATATTTTGTAATGGTGAAATCACAAAATCTAATGCACAAAAAACATGTCCCTGCTTGAAATACAACCACTAATAAACAATCGGTTTTGATGAGGAAAATAAACTATACTACTACTGATTAGAACCCAGAACCTCTGACACACTTGGCAAAAGTTCTGCCTCTGGACCATTAAAATTGTCGGATCTATGTATTTAATCACGTGAAAATTCTCACCACTAACAACATATATTATATCTCATTAAACGACAAATTAAACTCAATGTACTATTGTATACTATGTAACAGGGCATGTCAAGCTCTGAGTGAGTGGTATTTACGACAGTAACATTAAATTCAAGTACTCCACAGTAACTCTAGGGGTCGCTGTTTGACAAAAACGGGATTTCTGCATAATGCCCCTTTAAGTAAAACAAAAAACAAAACAAAACCAATGGGCCGCCGATGTAAGAGTTCCCTTTCGAGAGGTTCCTCCTATTGCGTAAGCTTACGCTATGGGAAAACTCCTTTTCTCGAGAAATATTGAAGTCTTTATGTAAAACGCATTGCAGCTGCACAGCATACAGCAATGAGCGAGGCAGCTCGGTCATTGGCTGTGCTGCGGCAACTTGCACGAACCAATGACGGGGCGACTCTGAACCCGCTTCCAATGAGCGTGCTTCGCGCCCACGCGCGTCAGAGCCCGCCGAGATGGGCGTGGCCAAGGGCTATATATTGGGCGCCCCGTCGTCTGAGTTCTTTAGATTTAATCTCCTTCAGCAAAGAACCTTCTCTTCGCTGGATCCTCCGGATTTATTGGAGTCTTTTCGCCGCCGCCGTCGACAAGCCTACAGCAGGACTGCTTCGAGGACGCCGGCGCCTTCAGCCGCCTTCGATCGCCCTTCTGCTAAGCCATCCGGCGCGCACCATCTATATCCTTTTTCAAAAAGCTATCAGTGTTCGCCCCCGCGACACTTTTTCTAAAAGAGTCAAATTTCTCAAGGCGTTGTTTCAAATGCCTTCCTGCGCCTCGTGTCGAGGCCCTCTTCAGGACGGGGATCGTCACATCATCTGCGCCCGCTGCTTGGGACCGGACCACGCAGAGGCTGCCCTTACTCGAGGCGGATGTCCCGAGTGTGACGCCCTGGGCCTCACCGAGCTGCGCGCTCGCTTCGCCGTTTTCACCGCGAAAGAGCCCACCTCTTCCGTGCTGCCATCTCCTCTAGTCGAGCCGCGAAAGAAAAAACGCCGCTCACAGAGGCCGCCGGAGCACGCGGTTTGCAGTGATGTCACGCCGGGCCAATCCCCGCGTGCTTCACCAACACCCGAAGACTCCCCGCCGCCAGTCCAGTTCACACAGGCGGACCAGCACCCCTCCAGCGGAGCGATGGGGCTCGTCTCGTTTGGCGCGTCAGGGGATGACGATGATAAGGATGACAGTTTTTCCTGTGATGCTGCATCCGACGATTGGCCGGGCTCGTCCTTCGACCCCGCGCCATCGACATTAGCGGGCACGAGCGCGGGCTCCAGCATGGACTCTGAGATCGTCCGCATTCTCTCTAAGGCCGTGGAAGACCTCGGGCTCGATTGGTCTTCCCCGGAAGAACCCGCCCGCAGCCGACTGGACGAGTGGTTCCTGCAGGGGCGCCGACAGGCCCCTCGACAAAGACCCTCCCCCTTCTTCCCGGAAGTTCACGACGAACTCACGAAGTCGTGGAAAGCCCCGCACTCCGCTCGCCTGAAGCCTTCTTTTTCTTTGTCGCTCTCCTCTGTGGACGGCGCAAAAGAAAGAGGCTATGAGGGGACTCCGCCCCTCGAGGAAGCTGTGGCCAATCATCTGTGTCCACCCTCCAACGCTGGATGGAAAGCTAAAGCTTCTCATCCCTCGAAGCCTTGCCGATCTACTTCAGCTCTCGCCGGTCGCGCATACGCCGCCGCCGGCCAAGCTGCATCAGCGCTTCACTCTATGGCTGTCCTCCAGGTTTTTCAAGCCAAACTTCTCCGCAGTATGGACGAGTCTGGACCCGATCCTGAGGCATTTAAGGACCTACGCAGCGCCACTGACATAGCGCTGCGAGCTACAAAAGCCACCGCCCAATCCATCGGCCGTGCTATGGCTAACCTGACTGTCCTTGAGCGCCATCTGTGGCTGACGCTAACAGAAATGAAGGATGCAGATAAGGCGTCTTTTCTCGACGCGCCTATCTCCCAAAGCGGCCTGTTTGGACCAGCGGTGAAGGAGTTCGCCGAGCGCTTCACCGAAGCCCGTAAGGACTCACAGGCTATGCGTCACTTCCTGCCCAAGCGATCTAGCTCATCGCAGAGCCGCCAACGGCCGCCTCAGCAGCAGCGAGCTAAGACGGCGCCCCCCGTCTCTCAGCCCAAACCTGAAACGGATTTTCGACGCCGCTCGCGCTCCGCCAACAGGAAACAGCCGCCCGAGCGACGGGGACCTCGGCCCAGGATTGTGCTGAACCCAGAGCCTCGTAAGTCCTCCTAGCTACAGGGAGGAAAAGGGAGAGCGCGTGTCTCGCAAGAGCCGGACCGTTCTCTCCAAAACGTTTAAAGCATTACCCAGTCCCCTTACAGGCGGTTGGAAATGTCTATACAGCAGCCAATGTGCCAGCCACACAGCTCGCCCACCTGCAAACAAACGCCGTTTTTACGGCGACACACAGAAATCACATAAAGAGCTATTTTCTGCCTGTGTCATTAAAGGGTCACGTGTCCACACCAAAGTGCGCATTCCCACATATCAAAACTGTAAACTCAGTGCCAAATGTTTTCCC